GAGTACATTTTCTTATAGTTTTTTATCTGTAAAACCTCTCTTATGTTGATTGTTGAACCGTGCAATGGGTGATGTACTTTCTAGGGGGCGAAGAAAACCTGCTCTGAAAAAGCGCACAGAACTTAACTGTAGAAAGGCATCAAAAAATGAGAGTCATACAGATGGAAGTGATGCTGAAGGCAAGGGCGATTCTGATTTAGTAGATGCTCATTTTCATTCTGGCTCCGAGGTTGATGATGTCAGTTCAGGTACTCATTATGTTAAACACCTAGCTATCAATGATCCGAAGCTTTCCAAAGTTTTCTAATAGACATTGTAGCCTTTTTCTCTGTCTGCTCTCCTTTGTTGGTAAATATAATATTATGTTGTTAGATAGTTGTTTATTGTTATTTTTTTTACTTCGAAAGATTTTATGGCTACAGTTGCCTTATAAGCTTGGTCCTTTTCTGCTAACAACGTGCAAATTACAAGGATGTTGTGGTGTCTCTACGTCAATATGATCTGTGAAACTTGGTACTTGTCCTAATAAGAATACAAAATTACAATTACTTATATATCAGGTCCAGATTCAGTCAGGAAATAAGCTGTTGAGTCTTGGATTGCAATTTGTGGTGGTGTTCTATCTTAAGATTCTATGCAGTTACAACCTAGATTGAACTGGAAATTATTTGTGCTTGCTGGGAATTTATTTTCCCTCCTTGGCAAAATGCTTTCAAAATTTTGTCATTCATTCTTCATTTCTGTTCAGATCGAGGTCACAAGGGGAATACTCCTTTAGAAGCTGAAGATAAGACTACAGTGAAATCAGTACAGTCATTGGAGGAACCATTGCATGAAGAAAAATCAGATCCAACCAGGACACATGTTGAGGAAAATTCTGATGATGAGCCTCCTGTAAAATTCTTTTTGCCATTTTCTTTCAAAAATTGGAACGTACTTTCTTGGTTTATAATTTTTCTTCTTGTATTTCTGTTTACAGAGTAAATAGAAGATGTGTGCTGGGGAAGAAGTATGGAGCTTCAATGTTTATCCGCTAGCATGATCTCCCTTTACAACATGAGCTTGAATGCGGGTCTGATGATCTGTTCATTGCCGATTTCATGTGTGCTTGAGTGAATCCATTGTAAATGCAGTGGCAATGACAAACTGTTTTCTGAAGCAGTCTACATCTTTATTGTCAGCTGACATGACGTTTGTAGCTTGTATGCTTAGATTTTTAGGATTACTGTAAGTTCGTGATGGTGGCAGAAGTTTTTCTTTTCTCTTAGCTTTTTTACTTTTCTCAGGTAGAGTATATGTGAATTTCATTGGTGTATTCAACTGTATGTTCGTGTATTCATGATTCTTTGTGCACCTGGGTCCATGTCAAAGTTGGCATCAGTAACTTAGGCGTACTGGAGTATGAACTGCCTTTGAGCCAGAGCTATGACTCGTCTTATTGCCAGATGCTTCTTTGGCAGCTGACTTCATTTGTTGATAAACTAGCACCCCATGGGCCGTCCTTGTAATTTGTAACATGCTTGTTAATGGTCGTGTCTGATTTGACTAGAAAATGATAATGGGTTAATATAACTGGGGAATAAGTTGATGTTGCTAACCCTTTTAAATATCAGATAATTTGTAGCTGCTGGAGTTATTTTGTGACGGCTCATGTTTTTCTGTGGAGGTTGCTAATGGCTTAAATATGTCCTTTTGTTACCGATGTATTTCCTCATTAAGAGTCAATGATTACACGGCTGATCCAGAGCTTAAAAAATCAAGGGATCTCACTGCAGGAGTCACACTTAAAACTTCTGGCTATTCCATCAGTAGCGAGAATCATTGGTCTGCGTTATTTTATTTCGGTCCTTATTCTTTTCACAGACAAATTAAGATTTCTCCGTCTTTGATTGTAGATGCATAGGGACTCTTTAG